TGGCGACGAAGCCGAACAATTTCAAAATCCAAGAGATCGACTAACTTTTTAATGATGGGATATGCTCGATGGAAATTTGCAGGTGGAAACATTTGTGGCGGTTGGCGGCGTCGCCTATGGTTTCCAGAACTGCGACCGCAAGCATAAGGCTTGTAATGATCATAGCTCTATGTATTGTGGATCATTGCTGCTGGTTAGACTTTACAAGTTTTCAGCGCTTTCTTTTGGGATTTAGTAAATGTCGATTCTCATTTGGAACAGACGGGTCAGCTGTCCGGTTCTCCAGCTATGCAACTGGCTATTTTCCCACTCTTGCCTTGACCAGTGCTTCATCAGCTGGTAGTCATTCTGCTGGCTTTCCTGTCATTCGTTCTGTTTCCTAAAGGAACTGCCAGCTCGGAAGCGCTTGGCAAAGGTCCGGCCATCTCGGAATAAGCTTTAGGGAGACTTGGTATCATCCTCTAGTTTAGAGCGTTGCTATACCCAGGCCACAAAGAAGTTGCTTTACGGGCTTGGAAATCAATCAAAGTTAAAAATTTATTTGCATTGTATTTGTACTGGATGCTTTATGTGCGCGGTATATGCAAAATGCACGAGACGGATGACACCTTTCTAGTTAACTGCCTTCAGTACAGGCACTTTATCAATGTGTCATGACAAAAACATAACCCTAACATTTTTTAATATTTTTACTTTATACCGAATGTACATTTTGAAACATACACTTATGCTGAAATTTCCATGCATTTGCAGAAAGAGCTAAACTCACAACCAAATCGATTTGAAGGCAACTACACCTACGCAATCCTTTCATTTGCTGATGATGTACTTGGGGTATATTGCTGCAATCACAAGTGCGCTGAACTCCGTCATGCTATTTTTTCGATTGGTTTCCCGGATATGGACCACTTGACGATCTCATCAGCCACCAAATTCTTGCAGCTTGCCTGTTTAGACCATCCACAGCTAAAAGATATTCGCAGAAGTGCTAAATTCTTCGCTGATGGAACTAAAATTATTACTGATTATTAAGGAAGGGGAACACTCTGCGCTTGTTGCTGAACCAAGTGTTGTCTTCTTAATTTACTTTCGTGTTACGTACGTGGAAATGACTTCTCAGCAAATTCAAGAAGTTAGGAAAGAAGCTTATGTGGGGAGAAGATGGTCCCAGATTTTGAATCCAGTTTCTGATGCTCCATAGACATCATACAGGCTAGAAATAATCTTTAAGCTGCACAGTCATCTTTTGCGTGCACTTGCACATCCATCTGCTGCGATTTCACAGTGACTTCGCTTCTAGTGCAATATATATTAGTCGTTGTAATTTTTCGATGCTCTGATTATCAATTGTTTCATCGAATCTGTGTTTCGGCATTTACTATAAACTTAGCTAGTCTCGGCCACGCACACTGCATCTTTTTTT